ACTTTGTCAATTTCGCACCCTTCTCTTCGCAAAACGGAGATACTGGTAGACTATATGCGTATTTATGCATTGACTAAACTTTGCCTGGGCTTTTTATTTCGTGTACGAGTCCCTAACATGTCATTCGAGGCTCTAACTGCATCTCTTTTGAAAGGTGCGCGGGTCGGCCTTCGTGATGAGCGGATATCCACGTGGTGGGTGGGGCCGCTCGTACCAGTGTACAAATTTTTGGAAACGGATTCAAATTTTGCAAAAATAGGCGCGTTTGAGGGCACCTACGTCCCTTGTCGAAAGAATGTGAAGCTAAAAAATTTGAAAAAAAAATGTGAAAATATGGAATTTGCAACAAATTCTCTGAAGAATGGGCAATGTCGCGCAAGTTTTGATGTTCAGTCCTCTTCATTGCGAAACAGCAACAGTCAAAAAAAGCCATCGAAACAAAAGTTGTAAAATGAAATTTGAAAATTTATAACAGCGCTGAGAAGTAGGCGTGGTCGATGGGCGGAGCGGTGATGTGTAGCGCGATCTGTTCGATTAATTGCAAGGTCCAGAAAGTGTTGTGAATTTGATTCGAAAAATGGTGCCTTTGGTTGAAAAGTGGTGAATTTGGTCTGAAGAGTGATTAATTTAAAGTGGAAATGGTGTATACGTCGTGTCACATGCTACACTGGAACTTTTCATAATTTTCTTCAAAATTTCGATTCGTGTTTTCACTGAGATAGTTTTTCTATCGTAGTTCAAGTGAGTTTGCTTACGAAGGCCGAAAGAGAGGTAAGAATTGAAACAATTTCTCCGATGGTATTTGGTGGTCGGTATCGTGGGTAGTGGTTTCAGATGCCTACCGAACTACCAAGGGTTGCGGTAACAGCTGTGCTCCTGCCCATACCTTTTGGATTTTATGTGATTGGCTTCGCTATGTATGTATCAAACTTACTTAATGTTGTGTTAATGCAAGCGTCTCTTAAACAGTCTTTTGTTTCTGGCTAGTAGTTGTTGTTAGAAAAACATAACTAAGTTTCTGCATTGTTGCGTATCCTCACAGTGGTTTCGCTAGTTTATTTTTGTGGAAACCTGATTTTTAATCTCTCTCCTGATGACTTCCTTCTGTTGTTGTGATTATCTGGCCGTTTTCTTATGAATGTAATTACCTTTACAGTATTTTCTTCCCTCGTCTCATCTTGACCCGCCATTTCTGGAGTGACGGTCAGCGGAAGAAGTTTTTCCAGTTAGATATTGAACGGTCACTGGCTAATTCGTCGCTTCCTATGATTATAGGGAATGTAAGTTCTTCTACGAGAGATTTTACAATGTGTACCAGAAACAAGGATTTAGTACTTCTTTTCTAGCCATCAACCGTCGAGCAAGTGCGACTACCTAACCTCGATAAGCTGGATTTTGATGCACTGGTGAGTGAGCAGTTTATATTCTGGCTTCAACATTTTGGCGCTTTTGGCATGTTTTCTTTTCTGCCGAACGAAGTTCTAGATGGACTCATTCGGCCTAACGGTTCTACCCCTTCTCTTCTTCAAAGGCCTGAAGATAGCCCGATGCCCTATATCTGCAGAATATTCGGCCGAGCACTCCCTCCCCTCTAGGTTTCCGACGTCGTGTCGAGAACAGTCAAACTGGTACCAATCTGCCGTCCAAGATGGGTGGAAGCCTTGGATGGCCTGAACGGGAGGCCAACCAGGATTTAACTCTCGGAGCACACGTGTGGTTAGCGTGCCACCTGTACATTACCTCCTCCTCAGTTAAATGAGGTACACGTGGAAAATACTTTCTACCAAAAAAGGACAGTTGAAGGCGAAGAAAATTTTTTCTGTATGCACAGCACAGCTAAGCAAATTAGTAATGAATGGTGGAGTTTTAAGGAATGAGATGTGAATAGCGAAAATATGGGCTCGTTTTCAAATTATAGTCCCTATCTTTAATGGTGAAATTAAGCGGAACAGCGGAATGCGAACGTGGAAATCATGAAATACTGGCCCTTAAATGGTTTCCGATGCATTTGCGTAGTCCTGGATACCACCGGAGTCTCGGAGGCACGCATTAGTGGGAGGCAGCGGCTAGAAGCTGAACGTTACTTCGAAATAAAACAGTTTTGTTCTAATCTGAGCTTTGCGCCTTTCTCAATGATGTTGAGTCTGGTCTACGCGAAATTTTGTTTGATCATGATGTAGTGTTGAGGCTGCTAGTTTTGGTTGTGTCTTAATTGGTCATTGCACGTACTTTTGTAGGTCCGTCAAGTTAATAAACAACACGAACGAATCCATAACTAGAACGACGCCGAATAAGGCTCTCAAAATCGGCCTTAGCAAATCTTTCACTCCTTTTCTGGACGTGCAATAAATCGTTCTCAAAAAGTGCTGCAGTCCTGGACGGGATCCTTTGTAAGAGCACATTTCGCGTCCTCTATTTGTTATCTCCATGTACTTTCTTGATAGCGGCGATGGTGATTCCTCAGGGAATTAACTGAGAAAGGATTCGATTACCAACTTTGTGGCTTCTACTTGTTCTTCTCGGGCAGCGCACTCTATCCTCAGATTCACCCATTCCTCTCAAAATAGCGACTGCTTTGAAATTTTCGTTAACCTTCAGCGGAAAATCCTGCCAAAGAGCTCTTCAATCCTATAGTATAAACGTCGAGCACAGTAATTTTTACCAAAGTAGAATTGTGAACATGTTTGCAAATTTATATTGGTTTTGAGTGCAATTCTACTTTTATTTGACGCCAGTCGGTTTTAGATAGCGTTATCATCATTGCATTCCATATTCCCACTGCCAGGAGTGAGGCGTCGATTTATTTTGCGATGTAAGGCGATGCGTCAATTGGATGGACTTTTAGAAAGCAGCCTAAAGTCGCTTACTGAGCGGCAGTTACATTTCGTGAGTTATTTTTCCAGATTTTTTTTCAAACATTTTCTCGCCAACTGCACTTTCCTAACTATCTAGTGAGAATGAGCTCTATGAAATTATTTATTTGGCCTAGCCCAGTACTGTAGGTTTTGAGGACAATCACCGCGCTCAGGCGATTCGAGGGTTTCTTTCTTTGCACAAGTAGTTTGTTCCTGAGCCTCCAAGATTATCCCATTTTTGCGGCTTCACAGTAAGTAATGCAGGCGCTGTGGCCCTCATAGATGGCAGCTCTGACTCCTGGTTGTCCCGCTCACCGTAACTCGAAGGCAGGATTTGTCACAGGTTCAAGTTTTACAGCTTTGATGTTATTAGCATTAGGTGACGCGAAAAATGTTCTGTGAGCCAGCAGTTCGTCACTTGGAGTATTCTTTATTTTTTTCAGTGGAGTTTTTTTTCTTCATTCAGCGATTAAAGATTCGTCACTGAAGGCCACTAACCACAATGCGCAGTCGCGGGGTTTGTCTTTGAGCTGTGACAACCTACTTGTACCGCACAATCTGATATCTCACCTTATGCGGAGGAGGTCTGACACCTTCAACATTCTCCTCACCACTTACCATGGGTCTGACTGCTGGACTGTGTGGTAACAGGACAAGGGGGATTTCACGTCGATCATTCCCGCACGCGAGAATGGTCAAAGCCGGGAGAAGGAGGACTCAAAGGAGGTGCGGTGTCAAGGGATTTGAGAGTTGCTGCCAAACGGCTCTACTATGAGTGCTGAGATGTTCTGCGAGCGACGTCGAGTGACAGCAAAGCTGAGAGGATGACAGTGCGCGCTCGCATATCACAAAGTTCGCTGAAATAAGGCCGTGCAGTCTCGTTTTGTTCTCCATTTCTATATCCCTGGCATTGTTCCATTTGTCCATCATCTTTTTCTTTCCGTCTTTCACCCGAAAAGGCGCCCCTTTATTGATGAAGGTCACTCCAAAATGGAAGTTCAACATTTTGACAGGGGGGGGGGGGGAGGACATTTAGCACTTTTCGCTACTTCAATCGACTGGACGTGTCGACCTATCTAGGCAGCCTCTTCTCGAGTTGACAGGTTTTACCATGATGGCTAGATGAGCTTGCTCCAGCTTCACAAGAGTTCACAGGTTTCGCCAGAGTGAGACTTGTAAACCGGAACTAGGGAAGCAGTGATAGTACAAAATGCCCCCCCTCCCCTCCCTCGGTCGTCAAACTGCTCCTATATATCATGCGAAAAAGGGAAAAAGCAGATGAAATTATTGATTACTCATGGGAAAAGTGGCGAAATGAGGCGAGGATCCTCACAGAACGGCGGTCCGCAACGGTTAAATCATATCTTTAATCTGGAATATTATATTTTCAGCATTTGTACATACGGCGTATTAAAGTTCGAGAGAATGCTCCTGAAGCTGAACTTCAGAAGGCACTTAAGGACTGGCTAAGTTTTAGTACGTTGTTGGTTAGGATTTTCAAGATCAACAGTTTTATCAACTTTTTCAGCGAGGCACTTGAATGACATGGCGTACCTATGCGCGCCCATTTTCTTCAACGAAAAGAGGAAGCAGAAATAGAATTTGTGATTGTTATTCAGTTTTAGTAATAATTAGTGTTCTAATAATTTTTACACGGGAGTTGTAACAATGTTCTCGTTTTATGCCATCTCTTTGATATTAGAGATTTTACAATGTATACCCTTTGTAAGGGAAACAGCCACTGGGATGTTAATCATTCATGTTGTTCATATGCCAATAGGTTTATAAATTTTAATTAAGCGTCTGTTCTCCTTGATAGTTAATTGTCTTTCGAAGACCATATTTGTAAAAACTTAGCTATACAGGGTTTAATTCGGCCATCTATAGGTATGTCTACCTTCTAGGAAGGGTCTATTCAGCATCTTCTTCATATATGCGTTTTTGGCTGACGATTGTCGACCTTGGATTAGCATGGTAAGTTTGTGTATATTCCCCTATATAACTTAATTAATGAACTATTTCAGGTCTGAGTCGCAGCTTCGGCTCAACATACTCCCATCTTCCTTCCCGTTACTGTAACCTGGTGAGTTACGGGAGCCCTTGGAGGATCCTCCAAGCATGCTACAATCAAGTTACAGTCCAACCATGCCGGGATCCTACGGGGAGGAAGAACTGCTCCTGAGAGATGGTGGAACAATGGTTCCACCGCTTGTTCTTCGCCCACTTATACGATCAGATGTGCCTGCAATTGAGGCGCTTTGTGCCGCTTCGTTCCCGATTCAGTATCCGGCATGCTGGTAATCTAATTATCACTTTTTTTTCATTAATTTTACTAGATAAATTCTTGATTTGTATGTTATTGTTTGCATTGATATGTAAAAATTTTAGGCCGATTTTTTTTGGTTTTTCAGTTCCTTGAATAACTTGAAAAACATTGTTTTTCGATTGCCGCTTTAGAAGTTACATATTGTAGGTTTGAAGAAGTGGTCGGTGGAGAATTGATTAGCGTTGGATTATTCGACGATAAACAATTGGTAGCGATGATGGTTTCAGAAATGAAGACGATTTTACATTGTAACCCAGAGGTTTGTAATGGCTGTTTTTTTCCTTCGATTCCTCCTTACCCACGGTTTTGTCTGATGCATATATTGTACGGATTCGGCCCTTGCACTGTTCTCTTGATCAGTTCGTAAAGAATCTGGAGAAGGCGAACCCATTAACTATGTGGGTTCCCACTCCAAATTTATCGTCCCTCTCAAATGAGCACTCTCGGAGCAGGCGCTCCCAGAGCTGGCGGCTAGCCGGAGCTGGTGCTCCGTTATATGACAGGGAAGCTGACCAGGAAAGTCCGCCAACTTACCATGGAACTTTGAATGGAGACCTGGGTAGATCGATAGAGTCTATAAGGTTATTTACAAATATAGATAAAACTGCAACCTGCATTTCACAAGCAACTTATGAGCAGGTAAAGTTTGTAATGGTGCAGTAGGGTGGAGGCTTGGTGGTGAGCTGTGAAGCAGAAGCGAGGAATCGCATACGTCCAATCGAGTTGTCGAACGTAACCTTACCACTTAAGCACCACGACCCTACTTGTAAATAACCTTATAGACTCCATCGATCTACCCAGGCCACAATCGAAGTTCCATGGTAAGTTGGCGGACTTTCCTGGTCAGCTTCCCTCTCATATAACGGAGCACCAGCTCCGGCTAGCCCCCAGCTCTGGGAGCGCCTGCTCCGAGAGTGCTCATTTGAGAGGGACGATAAATTTGGAGTGGGAACCCACATAGTTGA